CTGCTTGTTTTCCCTCTCTCGCTGTGTCTCTCTCTGTCAAATAAATAAATAAAATCTTAAAAAAAAAAGTTTAAAACACTGTAAAATATAATTTTTATAAAGTTTAAAAAACATGTAGAACAATACTACATATTGTTTATGGCCACACATACATGTGCAGTAAAAGTAAAAACATTTGTAAAAATGATTAAACCCAATTCAGGATGGTGCTTTTGGGGGGAGAGGGGGGAAGAAAGGATGGAAACAGAATCCAGGAAGGGTACAAAAAAGGCCCTATATTGTTTCTAACATTTTGTTCTAAAGACAACAGATCTAAAGCAAATTAGGCAACATGTTAAGATTTAACAAGCTGGGTAGTAGTCCACTTATACTCTTCTGTATGCTTAATATATTTAAGTGGGGTTTTTTTTGATGTAAATATTCTGTGCTTAATTTAGAAAATGCAGTTTGTGGGGCGCCTGGGTGGCTCAATGGGTTAAGAGTCCAACTCTTGATTTCAGCTCAGGGGCCCAAGCTGGGTGGGAAGCCTGCTGAAGATTCTCTCCCTCTGCCCCTCCTCCCCCCAACTAGTGCATGTGTGTGCACTCTTTCTCTCACTCTCTAAAAAAAATAATAATAAAAAGAGAAAAAAGAAAATGCAGTTTAGAAGTATCAAAATCAATCACAATCCTATTACTGAGAAGCAGATTTCCTTCCATTCTTTTTAAAATGAATTTTTTTCTTTTTCTTTCTTTAAGATTTTATCTATTTATTTGACAGAGACATAGCAAGAGAGGGAACACAAGCAGGGGGAGTGGGAGAAGGGGAAGCAGGCTTCCTGCCGAGCAGGGAGCCCGATGTGGGGTTCGATCCCAGGACCCTGGGATCATGACCTGAGCCGAAGGCAGATGCTTAACGACTGAGCCACCCAGGTGTCCCTTTTTTTCCTTTTTCAAAATGAATTCTACAGGGTCACCTGGGTGGCTCAGTCACTTGAGCATCCAACTCTTGATTTCGGCTCAGGTCATGATCTCAAGGTCCTGGGATCGAACCGTGCATCCAGCTCTGCCCTCAGCGAGGAATCTGATTGAGATTCTCTCTCTCTCTCTCTCTGTCCCTCCCCCCACCTTGTGTGCATGCATATGCTCTTTCTAAAATAAGTAAATAAAATCTTTTAAAAAACTAAGTAAAATGAATTCTACAGGTGTTCATTCTAAGTTATGTCACTTTATAATTCAAAAAACATGATAAGCTCTGATTCCTCTTACCTTCATTGAATCAACGTGAATTTCACTCAGTTGTTGGATATAATTATGCAGCTTCTTTCTGTCCCCCAAGGTACTAGAATTATAACAGGATAAGCAAATCTATCATTATTTGCTTAATAATAATCCCTAGAGTATATAATAGTATATAATCAACTCTAAATTATCTACATTATGAGAAGTCAGATTAAAAGGAACAATTAATAATTCAAACATACACCCCCCTAGAAACTCTCCCTTAGGCTTCTGCCCTTGATGCTCTTCCCATGGTAACTCAGACTTCAACATCTATGTCTCTACTGAGTGCTCAATTGATACTTCAAACTTATTTTAATCTACCTGAAGTTGACATCTTCCCTCACAACCCTGAATTTGCATGGCTCAAGGTACACTCTGAAGCAGAGCACAGTGAGAATGAAAAAGGACTTTGAAATCAGAACTGGTTCACATCTTTACACAGAATCTGTGTAACCTTGGGAAAAAAAAAATCACTCAACCTTTTTTAGTACATAAATGTTCTTATCCACGGTACAGGAAAAATGCGAGTACTAGGTATAACTGATGCACAAATCAAATATATATGAAGGTTACAGCTTTACCTGTACCCATCTTCCTTTGTCAGTAAACCCTCATAACACTCGAGGTTCAATAAATAAATTTAATAGGATTTAACGTAAACAGCTCAAAATCCTATAATTCATTATCCTGTGTCATTTACACTTACTGGTCCAAGCAAGTTAGCCTGACACCTGGCTAATTATTAACAGAACCAGCAGACAAGGGGCAGAATTTACTAATCCACTAGCTAATTAGATTGAAAAATCTTGTGCTCAAAGTCCTAGATAGAGTCAGAATCACTACAATTGGCCTCTATATTGTACTCTAAGACTCATGATAACTACAAAATCTAAGAATGATTTTCTTGGATGTACAGAAGCATTATTACATCTGATAAATCATAAAGCAGCATACCTTGTGTTTTCCTATTCCCCTACCATCCTCATCAGGTTGATGTAACAAGCACAGGGAAGTACTTACAGGTGATCTAAAACTGAGTCAGGTTAAGTATCATTGCACAGTTGAGTATAACCAAAAGTCACAGCATAAAATACCAAACCTAAACCAATCTCATGCCCAATTATTTTTCTTGAACTAATATTCAATAGTCATCATTTAATAAAACCCAAAAAGAAACTATTCACAAAGAAATCGCTGATTAAAGTATATAAAAGTAGCCAACCAAAACCTAGTGGTTGTTTTATTTTAACAAAGGCTATAACAAAATACAGTATTTTATATATATCATTTTGAAGATTTATTTATTTATTCTAGAAAGAGGGGGAGAGAGCCCATGTGTGTGAGTGGGGGCAGGGGCAGAGGGAGAGGAAGAGAACCCTCAAGCAGACTCCCTGCCACCCAGGTGCCCCAAAATAAATAGTACTTTAAACAAAAATTTAAAGTAGTCATGGGCAGGGGGGCCTCAGTGGCTCAGTCGGTTGAGCCTCCGACTCTTGATTTCAGCTCAGGTCATGATCTCAGCTCAGGTCATAATCTCAGGTTGGTGAGATCCAGCCCTGTGTGGGGCTCCATGCTCAGTGGGGAGTCTGTTTCTCTACCTCTCCCTCTGCTTCTTTCCCCCTTCATGCACCTGGGTGTGCTCTCTCTCTAAAATAAAAATAAAGAAATAAATCCTTAAAGTAGTCACAGGCCATAGTTAGACTACAGTAAGATTTTATTTCTGTATTTCATAATTTCTGAAATCTAAAATTTCTTACAACTGATATGTACATTTAATGTACTAATGTTTCTTACTTGTTAGAAAAACCTCTTAAATCAACGATTGATCATAAACTTGAGAAAATTTAAGTACTTGTCTAAACCGGATTCCCCCTAGAAAGCAAAGTCTAGGACAACAGCTTACATACAGGTCACTTATTTTAGGATGTGAATCCTAGGAAAGGTGAAACAGGAAAGGAGGGGAAAAGAGTACAAGGCTATATTAATACATTGGTTGAACTTGTACCACTGTTAACAACTTTGACTCATCCTACTGGGATCTTTTTTTTTTTAAGATTTTATTTATTTATTTATTCATGAGAGACAGAGGGAGAGACAGAGGGGGAGAGAGAGAGAAGCAGAGGGAGCAGGGAGCCCAATGCGGGACTCGATCCCCGGACCCTGGGATCATGACCTGAGCCGAATGTCCTACTGGGATCTTTAAAGGCAGCTCTAGGCAGCAGAATTTTGCCATAATGGAAATGTTCTATATCTGCCCTGCCCAACATGGTAGCCACTAGCCATAAGTGGCTATTGAGCACTTGAAATATGGCTAGGTGAGGAATTGAAACTTTAAATTAATTTAAACACGGAGCTAGTGGCTACTGTATAGGAAAACACAGTCCTGAAAAGTCCTGCAGAATCCACCTCATAGTTATAAGGTGAGTAATAAGGCATGCCAGATAATGTTCATTTGAAATTCTATTTTGTTCACTCATGTCTCCCAAGTTCCTAGAAAAATTCCTAACACTCAGTAGGTCCCCCATAAATATTTGTTGAATAAATCAGTAGTATTTGGGTCCACACAGTAAATGGTTCTCTTTAAAAGCAGGACTCTATTAGAGCAAATTCAATTCAATTAAAATAGTAAGCAACTATTATATCTAAGAAATAAGTAGTAAGGGGAACTTTGAGGAGACTGACGGGGCTGAAATGTGATTATGAAAGAGGCAAGATGAGGCTCTTGAAGATTCTGATCCAAAGGACATTTATTAAAATTCAAGTAAAAGTCCTAAGGTGATCTTTTCTCACAATCTGCTTCTATTATCAACTACTAAACAATAGCACATGAAGTAATTCAGTATAATCCTTTGTTTTGATTCTTTAGTTACTGTTACCACAAACAACATTTAGCTAAATGGAATTCCAGAAGGAAAAAACCTTATTTCACCACTGTTGCCAATTCTCTTAAAAAAAAAAGTCTCCGTTTTAAGGAATATTTAAATATTTGCTCCTCATCTGTGATCTTTAAAGTGAATCCACACTAATCTAGACCCTGCAACCTCCAGCCTTATGTTTACTAAGGGCCAACATGCTAATCATTTTATGTACATTGTCTCATTATTATTTCCATTTGACAGGTGTAGAAACTGAAGAGTTAAATTACTTGTCTCAAACCATACAACCAAAAAAGGACCAAACTACTTTGGATTGCATCTTTAAATCTAATACCAGGTATATATTTTAGTCTTGAGATAACTTTAGGAAGACCTAGAAATATGTTCAAGATAAGGCTGCCGCCTTGATTTTTCTTGCCAACATTTCCCCCCATCAATTCTTATATATTTTATGGTGTCTATAATCCAATTATTCTGAACTTGAGAGTAAAAAGTTGATCATTGAAACTTCATGAAGGCTTGTCAGCAAAATTTTTTAAAATAGGAATCATTAGCAATATTAAACACAACATGTGCACAGTAAAACCAAGCAAACAAAAACAACTGTGTTGGGGCGCCTGGGTGGCTCAGTTGTTAAGCGTCTGCTTTCGGCTCAGGTCATGATCCCAGGGTTCTGGGATCGAGCCCCACATCGGGCTTCCTGCTCTGTGGGAAGCCTGCTTCTCCCACTGCCCACACTTGTGTTCCCTCTCTCTCTGTGCCTCTCTCTGTCAAATAAATAAATAAAATCTTAAACAACAACAACAACTGTGTTAACCAGCAGGCAGGGGATTCTGTTTAAAACACTCTGTAGATTTAAAATGAGGACAGTTAATATTGGTGATCATGTGCTTTGTCCCTCAGAGGTGAATAAAAAGGTCCTAAGTATGCTTGGCTACAAGGTGAATTTTATCATTCTTACCTTATTCCAAGACTTTCAAGATCAGACTCATTAAGATGGAGCAGTGTTAAACCTGTGATTTCATTTTCTTTGGAAGAGAGAAAAAAAGATAAAATGGTTTCAATATTTATAGCATATGCATTTTTATTTCTTTCAGTCTGGATTCACCAGATTTTACTCAGATCAACATTTACTAGCCACCCACTCTAGGCAATGAACTGTGCTAAGTTCCACTTTTTTTTTTCTACGATTTTATTTATTTAAGAGAGAAAGAGGGAGCACGAGCGGGGGGGCGGGGGCGTGTGGCAGAGGGAGAGGGAGAAGCGGGTTCCCCACTGAGCAGGGAGCCTCACTTGGGGCTCAATCCCAGGACCCCGGGATCATGACCTGAGCTGAAGGCAGACGCTTAACTGACTAAGCCACCCAGGTGCCCCTAAGTACCACTTTTTCATCTGCCACTTGGAAAGTCTTTTTTCTCTCAACATGGGGCTTGAACACACAACCCCAGGTTCAAGAGCCACATGCTCTACTGATTGAGCCAGCCAGGTGCCCCTGCCCCTTGGAAAGTCTTCATTTTAATTAGATAACTATGCCAACAGGCTTTTTTGGATAATTAAATAAAAAATTTTTTAAGACTTATTTATTTGAGAGAGAGAGTGCGTGCACTCCACTGAGTGCACAGCGAGGAGGAGCAGAGGGAGAGAGAGCCATAAGCAGACTCCACAGAGCCTGTCACAGGCAGGGTTCAATGTAATGACCCTGAGATCAAGACCTGAGCTGAAGCCAAGAGTTGGGCGCTTAAAAGGACTGTACTACCCAGGCAACCCCTCAAGTGAAATTTTTAAAATTATTTGAGTAAATTATTTGCAGTGAAGTCCAAGTTGCAAAATCAGCAGCTTCCTTCTAAAACAGGTGAGGTTTGGGGTGGGGGGCTGAATGAAGTGTAAATCTATTGTTCTTAGAATAGTCAGGTCAAAACCATAGCCTGGGGACACCTGGATGGCCCAGTAGGTTGAGCTGCAGACTCTAGATCTTGGCTCAGGTCTTGATCTCACTTGATCCCATGATGGGCTATGTCCTGGGTGTATAGCCTACTTAAAACACACAAAAAAGGAAGAAAGAACAATTTCAAGTTCAGTAAAATTTTATTTTGTATTTTTACTTTAGTGCTATCCTAGTTTTCTAAAAATACTCTCAATAAACTCTAAGACATATTTGAGGTGCCTGGCTGGCTCAGTCAGTAAAGTATGAGACTCTTGATCTTGAGGTTGTCAATTCGAGGCCCACCTTGGGTGTAAGAGATTACTTAAATAAAAATTTTAAAAACTTCAGGAGCCTGGGTGGCTCAGTTGGTTAAGCATCCAACTCTTGATCTCAGCTCAGGTCTTTGGGTTCTGAATTCAAGCCCTGCATTGGGCTCCACACTGGGCATGGAGCCTCCTTAAAAAAAAATTTTTTTTTAATTTTTTAACTTAGGGGCACCTGGGTGGCTCAGTCATTAGCGTCTGCCTTCGGCTCAGGTCCTGATCACAGAACCCTGGGATGGAGCCCCACATCGGGCTCCCTGCTCCATGGGAAGCCTGCTTCTCCCTCTCCCACTCCCCCTGCTTGTGTTCCCTCTCTCGTTGTGTCTCTCCTCTGTCAAATAAATAAATAAAATCTTAAAAAAAATAAAATAAATTTTTAAACTTAAAAAAACACTAATAAACTTGAAGATGTATTTTTCTAAAAAAAGACACTAAGCTATGCAATTATGTAATTTTACACAAATGGAATTATGTCTTTTATAATTTATTTTTTCAAACCCAAGAAGTCACGGAGATCTTTTTGGTCAATTTTATTAAACTACATCATTTTTAATGCCTGTCTTATATTCTACAATATAGATGCACCATAATATATTTAACCAATTTTTTTCTGAGCCTTATGCTCAGGCGTCCCATGTTGGGACTTTCTTTAGCTCCTGTCCTGGGACTTTATGGCTTGAGCTCCAACTGACACTTGGGTTCACCTCCTAAGTTCCTTAGGGATCAGAAAATCTTTAAAGATATGTAAAGTTCAGGGGCGCCTGGGTGGCACAGTTGGTTAAGCAGCTGCCTTCAGCTCAGGTCATGATCCCAGGGTCCTGGGATCGAGTCCCACATCGGGCTCCCTGCTCAGCAGGGAGCCTGCTTCTCCTTCTGCCGGCCACTCTGCCTGCTTGTGCGCTCTCTCTGACAAAAAAAATAAAATCTTAAAAAAAAAAAAGAAATGAGGATACCTAAATGAGCATGCCTTAAAATGAGTATACCTAAACCGATGTGATAGTTGTAAAGATTTTACTAGATAAAATATGAGAAGTGCATAGAACAGTACTTCACACAAAGTAAATGCTGAGTAAACCCTATCACTATTATGTATAACTATTATTATTGGATAGATTATTTCTACTTTTTTGCTACTTATAACCAATGGTTAAAAGTATGACCTTGAACATATTTCTTTGGACACCTGTACAATTCTATCTGTAAATTCCTACAAGTGAAATTTCCTAAGTAAAAAGGTATTACCAAACTGTCCATGGTTTGAGCCAATAGACACTTCCATCAACTTCACTGGATTACCCATTTCTCCTATTATCAGTCTTTAAATATTTTTCTATCTAGGGGCGCCTGGGTGGCTCAGCCGGTTAAGTGGGATGGAGATCTCAGGGTCGTGGGATGGAGCCAGGAGTTGGGCTCTAGGCTTGGTATGGAGTCGGCCTGGGATTCTCTCTTCCTCTTCCTGCCCCTCCCCGCCCTGCACTCTCTGAGAATAACTAAATCTTACAAAAAAATTTTTTTAATTAAAAAATAAAAATAAAGATCTTTAAAAGAAAAAAGAAACGAGCCATTGTACCACGTGGTCAGTTTTTACCAATTAAAAGCACATAGTGAGGGGCACCTGGGTGCCTCAGTTGGCTAGGAGTCTGCCTTCAGCTCAGGTCATGATCCCAGGGTGCTGGGATCCAGCCAGGTCAGGCTCCCTGCTCAGCAGGGGAGTCTGCTGCTTCCTCTCCCTCTACCCAACCCCCCTGCTCATGCACTCGCACTCTCTCAAATAAATAAATAAAATCTTAAAAAAAAAAAAGGATGTAGTGAATTCTTCTAGTATTAGACTGTGGGTTCAAGAGAACAGATGATTCTGAAGGTCGATGAATTATTCTTTAGAACACCGAGGGGCGCCTGGGTGGCTCAGTCGGCTAAGTGTCTGCCCCGGGCTCAGGTCATGATCCCAGGGTCCTGGGATGGCTCCCTGCTCAGTGGGGAGCCTGCTTCTCCCTCTCCCCACTCATGCTCTCTGTCACTATTTCTGTCTCTTTCTCAAATATATAAATAAAATCTTAAAAAAAAAAAAAGAACACCACTGAAACAGAGAGCCAACAACATAGTCAATCATATTTTGGAGACAGAAAATATAAAACTACTTCATTCCCACCTATTGCTATTCAGAGAAAAATTCCATCCAGAGTGAAGGGAAACCAAAGGGCAGAGGAGAAAACAAGTACAATTTCCCACACCATCAACTATTTTTTTTTAAGCCTTTAAACACCCTAGACAAATGGGACTCCACCCCATAATTGCAGAAGTGTACTAAATTTGTAAATGATACCACCTTCCTATAGAACACTTCAGGGAATAAGACAGAGAGAGGGTAAGCTTCATATCCATTAGGGGAAGTTGAGTAGATTTCAAAGGATGGATGCTTGAACTTGAACCCACTGCTTAAAACTCACAACCCACACATCTCCCAATGTGATACGGCCAAGGTGGGGACTGCTGAGAATTCAGTGGTCAGCTGAACAACCCTAGTGTTCAGATTTAACTAGGAAAACTGATTTTGGAGAGCAAAACATCAACATTACCAAGCTCAACAAGTACAGTCAACAAACATATTGAGCCCTACTGGGATGCTATGGTAAGGCAATGGGGATTCAGGGATTAACAAAACATGTCCCCACTCCCTTAAGAAAACCCCGCCTTGAGAGTTGATGGTAAGAAACTGAAACTTAAGAGCAGCAGCACATACTCTAAGTGGCAAGTGTTCAAGGAGCTGCAGTAGTAACACGGAGGGGTCTCCTGAGCCCGGTGTGCCTGGATGACAGGTCTGGGGAAAACGTTCTTCTAAGAAAAGGAACCGAGTCTCGCCCGCCCGGCGCTGCGGTGGCAAGTTCCCGAAGAAACCCAGCAGCATCAGGCCAGGTGCCCCACCCAGATTCACAGTCCCCAAAGTCGGCTTTCTTCCAGCGGGTCCCCAACCCCAGAAGCCCCATTTCTCCTTCCTCCATCTCAGGGTGCATTCCTGCGCGCCCCTTCTGTACCTCCCCGCGCCTGGTGTCCCCTCCCCGCCTCAGGTTTCCGTTCTCAGCCGCAGGTCATTCCTCCAGAGGCGCCCCCCGCCTCAGGTCCACCCCTGCGGGTGCCTCCCCGCGCAGGTCTCCCTTCCCCGCTTCAGGGCCCCTGCTCAGGACGGCTCTCCGCCTCAGGTTTCCGTTCTCCGCCTCAGGTCAACCCTGGCTCGGCGGCTCAGGTCCACCCCTTTGGTACCTCCCCGAGCAAGTCTCCCTTCCCCACTTCGGGTCCTCTTTGAGGCCCCCGGCTCACTGCCCCAGGGCGCCCTCTCCTCAGGCCCGCAGTCTCCGCCTCGGGTCGCCGTCCCCCGGTCCCTCAGCCCTCTAAGCCCTGCTACCTCGGAAACGGTCCAGCAGTCGGGGATCACTGAAGCCACTGCGCTTTAGGAAGCAGCACACCTGCTCCGGGCCCCAGGTCTGGTGATTTGGGCGGAGTTCGGGGCTCGGGGACGTCTCCGCCGCCGCAGAACGGATGTTTGGCGGCGTTCTTGGGGTGCCATCGCATCGGGGCCGCTTGAAGGGCTGTTCGGAGTCCGCTCCCTGCATGGCAACAACCACTGCCGGCACAGCACAGTCAAGAACCGCGGCGCTTCGACCGCGCGCAAGCGCACTGACTGCCGGTCGCAGAGGACGAGTCCGCACAGCACTGCCAGCCTACTGGCCTCCCGCGCAGGCGTACTGACAGCTCAGACCTTGGGGCCAGGCAGCCCAGCCACTTCAGCCACCAGGCCCCCGTGCGCAGGCGCAATGACAGCCCACTGGTCCTCAATAGGTCCCGGAGTTTACAGAAAGGGAGCGACTAGAAGCAGAGCCAAGGGCGTGCTAATGAGGTGAGGAAAGACTGTACCTAGGACCCATGGAAGTCCCGTCACAGTCCGGAGCAGGGGCTCTTCTGGTGAATTGAGGGTGCCTTCCTCCAAATGAGTATCCCAGATATACCCTTGGCCGTGTTTCAGATGCCCCAAACTTAAAGAAACCTAAAAGGCCATCAAGCTGGCCATCTTCCCAATTAGAAAAAAATGGGCAAGAAGCTGATCTGGAAGACCCTGGAATGATTTCAAATTTGATATGAAGGTAATCTTGTATTTCACAAGTTCTACAGTATTACTGGGCAGTTAGAGGGCCCTGGGGGTGCCTATCCATGAACTTTTTTTTTTTTTAAGTAACGTATAATGTATTATTCGGGGGTATATGTCTGTGATTCATCAGTCTTACACATATCCATGAACTCTTATCTTCAGGTTTCCATACAGAAGCTGACTTCAAACTTCTCTCCAAAAGAATCCTCAACCCCTCTCTCCACCCCAACTCCCTGCCCAGAGGAAAGGAAGTGGCCAATCTGATTACTGTTAAACAAAAATCACCTGAGTAGATTTGAAGATCTAAGTGGCTTTATTCAATGACTCACGAATAGGGCAGCATCCCATCTAGGGAGGAGAAAGGAGATCCGAGGAACTGTACAAAATGGAAGGTTTTTAAAGGCAGAAAGGGGGTAAGACAAGGAAGTCATAGCAAAAGAAAGAATTATTTTAGGCAGAGTCACCCAACATTGGGGAAAGGCAGGAGTCTACCTACCTGCTGCCTCACCAGTGCTGGCCAGGAAATTCCAGACTGACTGGTTAAAGGTCATAGTCCTGAGAAAGGCTGAAACTGCAGTTAGGTTAGATACTAAGTTTTGGTTTGCTGATGTGGGGCTTAGCACGGGTGACTTCATTTTGGACCTGTTTCTTTTTCAACATTACTTAAAACTATCTTCAAGGACTTTTACCATCTGGTGGTAGCAGCCTGTAAAACTGAGAGGCATGTCCCCATCATGTTAATCACTTGGGGGCAAGACCAAACTTCCCTATAAATCCTAGTGCGTGCAATTAATTGGTAATAGGACCACTACTACCACCACTAAAGCCAATACACTGCCCCATCAACCCAGCCACAGACCCATCTAGGGGATAAAGGATGAATAAGACAGGGGCACCTGGCTGGCTCAGTTAGTAGAGCATGCAACACTTGATCCCAGGGGTCATGAGTTTGAGCCCCATGTTGGGTATAGAGATTATTTTAAAAAGCAAAACAAAACATGTAATTGAAAAAAAAAAAAAGGATGAAGGAAACAGATTATCATTAAGCAGTATGAACTAGTGGTCTGGTAGAGAGCAAAATATCCTTTTTTCTTTTTTAAAAGCAATCTCTATACTCAATGTGCGGCTCGAACTCACAACCCTGAGATCAAGTGCATGCTCTACTGAGCCAGCTGGTCACCCCATAAAATATTCTTAGCATACACTTAGAGCTTTACTCTGATGCTGGGCACTGTTCTAAGGGTTTTACAAATATTAATTAATGTATGTATCATAACAACCCTAGGGTGTAAGGAACTGAGATACAGAGAAATAAGTAAATAGTTTGTTCATGGTCACACAGCTAGTAAGTGATGAAGCCTGGATTGAAACTCAGACAGTCTAGCGTGGCTCCAAAATCCATGCTCTTAATCACTTGCTAACTATTGCTTGTTAATGGGAATTTTGATATAAAGTTATTTTATATTAGCTAGCTCAAAATGTTCAATTGCTCCCTTGTCCCAAAGACCCATGGAGGAAAGTATAGAGGGGCGAACTTGCCTTCCATCTGCACAGAAGGGCCAGGCTCAGCAAAACACACCCTTAAGCCCCAGAATGATTTGAGAAAAGAACAGAGAGTTGCCAAGACTCATGAAACCCAAACAAAGGGGTAAAAGAGACAATGAATAACCTATGAATGAAAGCCTATTTCAACTTGGAAATGGCTAGCTTGAAAACTTGTATTTATTTATTTATTTATTTATTTATTTATTTTTTAAAAGATTTTATTTATTTATTTGACAGAGATAGAGAGCACAAGTAGGCAGAGTGGCAGGCAGAGGGAGAGGGAGAAGCAGGCTCTCTGCTGAGCAGGGAGCCGGACGTGGGGCTCGATCCCAGGACCCCAGGATCATGACCCAAGCCGAAGGCAGCCACTTAACCGACTGAGCCACCCAGGCGCCCCAAAAAACTTGTATTTTTTTTAGACTTGTGGGAAAATCTGCCCTGATTACAGTTTCCTCGGCAGTAGAAGGTGGTATAAAGCAGGGTTTTAAATTTAATCAGCTGGGTTTGTTCAAAGCAGTTGCTTTTGAGAACTTTAATTTTCTGTTTATGTTTGTTCAAGAGTGTCATTTAGGGGCACCTGGGTGGCTCAGTTGGTTAAGCGACTGCCTTCGGCTCGGGTCATGATCCTGGAGTCCCGGCGAGTCCCGCATCGGGCTCCTTGCTCAGCAGGGAGTCTGCTTCTCCCTCTGACCCTCTTGCCTCTCATGCTCTCTATCTCTCATTCTCTCTCTCTCAAATAAATAAATAAAATCTTTAAAAAAAAAAAAAAGAGTGTCATTTAATGCCATATTTATTATTTTCCTCCTCATCCCCTACTTTCTAGGGGCCCTAGATCTTGTGCAAGGTGGTCGGTTACTTGCTCAAGGTCACATGGCTGGTAAGTGACAGAATGGAGATTTGAAGCTGACTCCAAAACTTCAGTGCTTTCCAGTTTACCAGGTCAGTGACCTCTACTCACAGTTCTGGTGATCTTGTTCCATGTTGTCTTTCTACAACATGGGAACAGTTACCTCCTTGACAAAGGCCCTGTGCTCTGGTCATGTTGAAAGAAAGGATGGCTCAGCCTCTCCTCTGATGTCAAACTTGCCATAGTTCAGACTAGAAAAAACTGTCATTTCAATTAACTAAAGGCCCATTGCTTCATGACTTTGAATATCCCCAGGAATTTTTCCCTGTCCTTCCCTAGCTACCTTCCATCCACCCAGCTGAGCTGGGCAATTTTATTTCTGTCAGCATTAACCATGTGGTTTTAAATCTCTCCACAGCTGCTTCTTCAACCATTGCTGCTGGTTCTCAGTGCTGGATGTCACTCTCTGTTTCACTTCCTCTTCACCCTTCACTGAACCTAGCCTCCTCAAGACATTGTTTTATTTTTTTTAACATTTGCCCCAAATCCCAAAGCCACGCCAAAATTCTTTTTTTTTTTTTTTAAGATTTTATTTTCATGTAAGCTCCACACCTGACGTGGAGCTCAAACTCACAACACTGAGAACAAGAGTGGCACAGCCCACCAACTAAGCCAGCCTCCAAGCCAAACTTCTTTTTAAAAAAGAGTCATTCATTTTCTCATCTGATAAAAATAATGCTCAAGAAGGAAAACTTGGAAAGTAAAATGTGTATATATGCAAAGATCACTTCCTGGTAGGTGCTCCATAAATCATTTTTTTAAAAGATTATTTATTTATTTATTTATTTATTTATTTATTTATTTATTTGACAGAGAGAGACACAGCGAGAGAGGGAACACAAGCAGGGGGAGTGGGAGAGGGAGAAGCAGACTTCCCGCCGAGCAGGGACCCCGATGCGGGGCTCAATCCCAGGACCCCGAGATCATGACCTGAGCCGAAGGCAGACGCTTAATGACTGAGCCACCCAGGCGCCCCTATAAATCATTTTTTAAAAAGATTTTATTTATTTATTTGTCGGGGAGAGAGAGCACAAGCAGGGGGAGTGGCAGACAGAGGGAGAAGCAGGCTTCCCGCTGAGCGGGGAGTAGAGAGCCTGATGTGGGACTAGATCCCAGGACCCTGGGATCATGACCTGAGCCGAAGGCTGATGCTTAACCAACTGAGCCACCCAGGCATCCCCATAAAACTTTTTCTGTTCATAAATGTAAAAACTTATCTCCAGGTCTGGGAATTCTTTGAAAAAAGAGACCTTGCAGAATGACAATAGTTACCATATTTGAGTATCTGCTATGAGTCAGAACTTGCAGAATGACAATAGTTACCATATTTGAGTATCTGCTATGAGTCAGACATGTGCTTTATTTTATATCCGTAATTTTTTTAAAAAGATTTTATTTATTTATTTGACAGAGCACGAGAGCAGGAACACAAGCAGGGGGAGCGGGAGAAGGAGAAGCAGGCCTCCCACGGAGCAGGGAGCCTGATGCGGGGCTAGATCCCAGGACCCCAGGATCATGACCTGAGCCGAAGGCAGACGCTTAACAACTGAGCCACCCAAGCGCCCCTATATCCATAATTTCTAATCCTTATAACAACCTCAGTCCATAGGTATTATACTAGTTAGACTTATTTGGTTATAAATACATTCACCCATTCATTCAAGAAATCTTTTTTGGGGTACCTGCTTCTCCCTCTCCCTCTACCTGCTGCTCCCCCTGTTTGTGCTCTATCTTTCCAATAAATAAATAAAATCCTAAAGAAAGAAATAAGAGTTGCATGATGTACTTACTGAGCCAGCCAGGTACCCCTGGCCTTTTTAAGGAAGTAATTAAAGTTAAATGCAGTCATACAAGTCAGCTCCTAATCCAACAGGACTGATGTCCTTATAGGAAGGGGCACCAGAGATCTCTGAGGCTGGATGCTTGGTTCCTGGACCTATTTTGAAAGCATAAGCAGTGTTAAAGTTGTATTAGTTATACCATTAATTTAGCTGTACATTCTGGGTTGTTGTTGT